ATACCATAAAAGTAATTTCTAATAAGGAGAAGAAATTTTTTTTTGTGCAAAATAAAAAGAAAATGGAAGATGGAAGAAGAATGAGATATATATATTTTTATACTGGTGGCCATTTTATGTGTAAAATAATATATATTTTTTTAAAATTCTATGGCAAATAGTATTATTCACAAAACAGAAGGATCATAGCCTCTTATAATCTTCTCCTAATTTCGTCTTTATATGTATGAAGTTTAATAAAAAATTGATAAATAATTTAGAGTGCCTAGCGTTTTTTAAAATTTATTATTAATTAATGATGAAATATGTCATAAACATGGCCCACGTGACACAAAAGCAGTTGATGTCATACTGTCCCCACAGGGGGAAAAAAATATGAATGAATTGAACACACGTAAAAGAGCATCTCCAACGGTGAACTTCTTTTTTTCACTAAATTTGAGTAAAAAATGACTCGTTTCACCAAATCTAATATCACTAACTCCAACGGTGCATCAAATCCCGTGAGTCAACCGGTTGGTCGACCGGTGGGTCGACCGGTAAGCGTAAATATTTTTTTTTTTGTTTTGCAGAGTACCCAGATCGGATGATGCTGACTGAGAGCAACAAAACTTTTTCTGGATATATAAAGATCAACTTTCATTCATACCTAATTAATTTAGCAGAGAAGACCTATATTTTGAAATATCCTTGAAATATCCTCAACTAATTCCTAGACATAGATGGTTAAAAATCAGAGATGAAATCACTAATCTAAAACATATAAATATTAGTAAGCAATCTGAGTCAAATCAGAGAACAAACCCACAATTCACGGCTTAAAGTTTGAAAGAAAAACTTACAACCAGGAGTGGTGAGCTTCAAGGTATGGAAGCAAATGTCATACAAAGCCTCATTGTCAAGAACCAGGAGTGGTTGACCGGTTGGTTGACCGGCCGGTCAACTGGTAAGGGAAAATATATTTTTTTTTTTATTTGTTTGAACTTTTTTTGACCGGTTTGAACTCACCAATTGTAAAGGAAATTGGTCGACCGGTTGGTCAACCGGCCGGGCAACCGGTTGGTCGACCGGGTCCTCCTCCAACGGTCACAAACAGTTTTTTGGTGAAATCAGTATCTTGTCCTCAGTTTGATGAATTGTTTGATGAATTCTCAATTTGATATCGATTTGGTGCAGCCGTTAGAGCACAAAACAGTAAATTTTTCATCAAAATTTGAATTTGATGTCAACTTTGTTGAACCGTTGGAGATGGTCTAACATCTATTCTGAAACTAGAGGTTTAATAAAAAAATTTAATAAATAATTTAAAGCATATAGTACTTTAAACTTAATTAATTATTAATTAATGATAAAACATGATATAGACCTAATGTCGTCATTAAACACTGGCCCACGTGACGCAAAAGCAGTTGATGTCATGCCCCCACAGGAAAAAAAAAAATGAATGAACCGAACACACGCAAAACATCTATTTTGGGAGTAATTATACTGTTTTTTCGAAATTTAAATTTTCTAATTCTATTGTTTGTTTTATATAATATATAGAATAAAAAATAAAAAATAAAAAATAATAGATATATAATCAATAGAATTATAAAAATATATCATGTAAGATATAGGATAAACTTATATAATAATTTTTCTTATTTAGATAATTGAAATTGTTTATCTTTTACAGTTATTTAATAGAAAAAATTGATTGATTGGGTAATAATCAATCGTGATATTATTTTATTATATTTATTAATTTGTTCTTAAAATTTAATTTTTATAAAATTATATAATTATATAGTTATCAATTAAATAAAATTTTACCTAGATGATTAACATAAATTTATAAAATCAATTAAATACAATTTTTAATGAAACTCTTTGTGAATCTATCTTACATGAAAACCAAGTACTCACATGTTAAACAATCATAATTAAATCACAAAATAGTGTTAAGTATCATAAAAAACATATCATAAAATGATTGAAGAAGATTTTCATTCTTTAATTAGTATGTGGTGTTCTATTGTGTGTGTAATTTAAAGGTGAAGAATCTTCACAAACTTTTTTTCATGATATCTAATATTATTCTTAAATCAAATTTAAAAATTAAAAAAAATCATAATTAAATTTAAAATTGAAATTTGATACCAATTAGTTTAAAAATAATATTAATTATTAAGAAAAATTAACATTTAAAATATGCTAATCAAATTTACGGTAAGTATAACTTGTGCTATTTTATTTTTTTTAAGTGTATCACATTATAACATTTGTTAATTATTGAATGTTACATTTTCCGTTGCTTTCGACCGTGGTCAAAACCGGCGCCAAATGGCACGTGTCGAGCACCTTTATATAATAATATCCACGAGTAATAAAATATTGGAGTATTGTACAAATAAATCTTAAATCAAATTTAAAAATTAAAAAAAATCATAATTAAATTTAAAATTGAAATTTGATACCAATTAGTTTAAAAATAATATTAATTATTAAGAAAAATTAACATTTAAAATATGCTAATCAAATTTACGGTAAGTATAACTTGTGCTATTTTATTTTTTTTAAGTGTATCACATTATAACATTTGTTAATTATTGAATGTTACATTTTCCGTTGCTTTCGACCGTGGTCAAAACCGGCGGCCCAATGGCACTTGTCGAGCACCTTTATAAAATATTGGAGTATTGTACAAATAAATATTAAAAAATTGTTATGTAAAATCATACACCCATATTTGAATATTTCTTTATTAGAATTCAGAAACCCATTTGAAAAAATGAGTTCACATATCCTCATTAATGTTTTTATTTTTTATATATAATTGTTTCGTTGTCACATTTCCCCCCAAATTTCATTATCATATTTCATAAGTTTTCCTATATAAAAATTCGTTAGATCTATATATTTTTTTCTTTTCTCATTCCATAAGTTTAGAAAAACATAAACAAAACAAAATATTAGAAAATGAATGGATAAATATTTTTTAGATGTGGGCTTCCTAAACAAATCTTATCACGCACGTACATTAATAATTGTTAGTTGTTAGATGTTAGTTGTCACTAAAAGAAAAGGGAACCACAAATCTATTAAACTCCCATTACAACAAAAGTAATCTATGATGACAAAAAGTAGTAAAGAAAATAAATTTCGTCACTAAATAAGAATAATTCGTGACGAATTATTAAATTTTGTCACGTATAATAAAAAATAAAAATAATAGGTGACGAAATTTATTTTTGTCAACAAATACTTTTTTTAGGTGAGGAAAAATTAAGTTTTGTCACCGAAGGTTTTCCCGCTAATTTTTTTTTTGGTTGGCGCCAAAATTTGAGACTTTTGGTGAGAATTTTTTTTTGTCACCAATTATAAAATTATTAGTGATGAATATATTTTCGTCACCAATAATTTTGTATATATATTTTTTTAGAAACTTGATTTTAAATATTTTAAGACCATTTAGTGAGAAATATATTTTTGTCACTAATAATTTTTAATATTTTGAGACTTTTTAGTGAAAAGATTATTTTGTCGCTAATTTTGGAGGAAAAATTTTGACATATTGGGCGGTGATGGAAAAAATAGACAACTAACTTTTTTCCCCTTTTTATTTTTGTTTATCAATTTCCCCTTTTTATTTTTGTATATCAATTTCTCTCTCTCTCTCTCTCTCTCTCTCTCTCTCAAAACAAAACACAAGTTAATTAACTCTCTAAACTTATGGTGACAAAAAGTAATGAAGAAAATATTTTGTCACTAAATAAGTATAATCCGTGACGAATTATAAAATTCTGTCACATATAATAAAAAGTAAAAATAATAGGTGACGAAATTTATTTTCGTCAATAAATACTTATTTTTAGGTGAGGAAAATTAAATTTTGTCACCAAAGATTTTTCCTCTAATTTTTTTTGGGTGGCGCCAAAATTTTGAGACTTTTAGTGAGAAAGAAATTTGTCACAAATTATAAAATTATTAGTGAGGAATATATTTTTGCCACCAATAATTTTAAATATTTTTAAAAAAAATTATATTTAAATGTTTTAAAACTATTTAATGAGAAATATATTTTTATCGTCAATAATTTTAATATTTTAAAGTTTTTAATGACAAAATTATTTTGGCACCAACCAATCTTAAAGGAGAATTTTGAGATTTGGCGGTAATGAAAAAAAGAAACCCTACTAATTCTCCTCCACCCCTTTTTTCCTTTTTTTTGGTGCTCCAGTTTTTCTCTCATCCCTCTCTTGCAAAACACACAAAGGTATGGCCCCTCTCTCTCTCTCTCTCTCTTTCTCTCTACTACAACAAAACTGAGTTTTTATGGCTCCACATTAACGACATACAGTAAATGCAAGGCGTGATTTCTCATTTTTACGACTTACTGTTTTTGCATATCGTAAACAATGTCCCAACCACGGCGTGTCTATTGCGTAGGCCGTAAATGCTAATACTAAAGATTTTTTTACGGCTTGCAATGTTAGCCGTAAATAATAAAACTTTCTACGACGTGCATATGACATGCCGTTAATACATCAATTATACACGACACGCGTACACCAGCCGTTAAAAATATTAAACATTTCACGGCGCACTAAAAGTCAGCCATTAAAAATATTGTACTTTTTACGACGCACAACAAGTCAGCCATTAAAAAGTAAACTTTCCATGACACACATATGCTAGTCATTAAAAATATTTTACTTTTCGCAACATACAATTTCTATCATAAATAATATAACCAAAATAAAAGTAAGCGCCAAAACAAAATACTCACGCTAAATACTAAAATGAAATTGGGCATAGTTCTCCCTGCCTCTCTCTCTCTCTCTCTCTGCAAATGCTAAAAACTCAACTAGTGATCTGCAGAAGCTCCTCTACCACACCCTTTCATTTCAAACCCTAAATCATATTCTCACCAATTTCTCTCTCTCTCTCTCTCTCTCTCTCTCTCTCTCTCCCTTCCAATTTCTCTCTCTAAAACCCACAACGGCCATGCCTCTCACCAAATTCATCGATCTAGAGCTGCCTTGGAGACTAGCAAAAGGCGAGAGCGGGTTTTTAGAGACTTCCATTACCTTTTACCCGTTCTGAACTCGCTCAACACTCACCATGGTTAACCCTCTTCCTATTCCCTTCTTCAGATCTAATTTCTATGTACTCTTTTGCTGTTTTCTTGTTGGGTTTTTTATTTTTTGGAGAAAAAATTGTGTTTTTGACTTTGGGTTTTTTGTGTTTAGATGGATCGGTATAAGAGGGTAGAGAAACCGAGGCCAGAGACGCCGATTAACGAGAATGAGATTGGTATAACCACTCAGGGGAGGATGAGGAACTAAATTATTTATGCTATCACTCTGTTTCAGGTCTCTCTCTCTCTCTCTCTCATTGAAAAATTAGGGTTTTGATTGAGCAAATCAAAAATTACAATTGTGTTTTAGGTTGTGAATTTTTATTTTTTTTTTTATTTTTTTTTTCTTGAATGTGAGTTGGGGAAAATGTTTGAATCTGAATTAAAAAAATTAAAACCTGAATGTGAAATTAGGTTCTTGGTGAAGGAAAATAATTTTTTTTGAATTTTTCCATCTTGTTATTGCTTTTCTCTGCATCCAAATTGAAGGGTTATGGTTGTTTTGATGTTTGATAATTGTTTTGGGTCCATCTTCTTCTTCTTCTTCTTCTTCTTCTTCTTCTTCTTCTTCTTCTTCTTTAATGAAACAATGGAAAGCTTGAAATTGGTAAGTTTTTGAGGTAGATCTGTTGATTGTTTTGTTTTTTCCCATCTTCTGCTTATCCATCCAATTTCTTGGCATAAACAATAGTTTGTCCTACTTGAAGTCCGAATTATGAAAATTAAAGGCCTGCCTTAGACATTTTTAAAAAAATTGTTACTGTCTTGAATTAAGATCAGCATTTCTGGTGTGAATGCCCTCTCACTTAATATAGAAACTCAAGTAGGTTTGATTATGTTAATTTCCAATTGGCTTTGTTCTTCTCAATATAAAAGGAAGATATTAAAGTTCATCACATTTTTGTGCCCTGCTGACCATTCTCCATATTCAATTTCTTCCTTATCATTTTCTTATGTTAAACTATGTGAATTACTACGTGGGTTAACCTTTACCTGTTCTATGCTTAATGACCTGGCATGGCTTACATTCTGGATGAAATCCTATTTATCTAAATCAATGATTATCTTATCAACATTTATCTTTATTTTCTTCCAAATAATGATTGGTATGCTTTCTTTTTAATAGAATCTCATTCACTTTGATCTTTTTGTTTTTCAACCTCACTATTTTCAATTTTTTCAATCTATGTTTGTATATTGGCAGAACATAATTTTATGTATTTCTAATGAATATAGATAATTAGACTACGTTATTCCTTTTTGTCTTGAAGGAAGAACATTAGAATCCTTAATTTTTTTCTTAAAAAAATGCGATGTTGGTTGTAGGCATTGGGCTCGGGATAAGTGGGTTTGTGTTTGCTTCCTTGGAGCTTCGGTTTTGGCCATTGTATTGAGGCCAGACTTTAGCTAGGACAAGTTAGATTTAGTTGATGCTTATTCATATTACTCCCTGAATCTTATGTGAAAACTTTGTTTATTTTCAATTTTAGCATCCTTTGGATAGTTTACACGACATAGATATTTACTTCATATTCTAATAGTGTCCACTATCATGGTTGGAATTACAGTGTTTGGCATGATTTACTATAGAAGGGCATTAATGTTACAGAGTTTCCTGGAAAGAAGATCTCTGGGAGGTATTTTGTTTTGTGAATTCTTATCAGTCCTAAGTATTATTTGAAGCGAAGGCATAGATATTCTTTCTCATCTATTTCTTGTATCAACATAGGATGATTATTCTCAAGAAAAAGTCCTAACAACATAAAGTTCACTTATGTTATTTCTTACCAAATTAACTTTAATCTTATATGAACTTACTTGTTTCTTTTTTACCTTGGCGCCTTTGTGTTCACAGATTATAACAAAATTCTTGGCGTGAATTAAAATAGTCTTATATTTGATCTTGTAGCTCAAGGGTTTTCAACACTGAAATTTTGAGGCTTACTGGGCTAGTGGCTCCATAGTGTTAGGGGGAATGTGATGTCAATGCCATGCGCTCGGGCTTCTCATCTGACGTGCCTCTGTCTTGAATATTCTAGTACATGAAAAATGAGTTTTTTTTTGTATATAATTCTAGAAACAATATATATATACACAATACAACAAGCCTTTGTGTCAGTTATTTTGGGTCTGCTACTTGCATTTATTTTCTTCAGCTAACTATTAGAAATGAATAAATCAAATTTAATTAAAAAAATATAGCATTATAAGAAATGAATTACAATCTGGCATGAATTCACAATTGATGCACACAAAAAAATTGAGAATTAAGGAAACTCTACTGAAACTGGGAAATCAGATGGCAAAGGAGCATGTAAAGGAACTGAAAAGAAATTGGTTATCATGGATCCTGGAGGTGAAGGAAAACTTTCTGTTCACTAAGGGAGGCTAGGAGCTGAAATAATTAACAATCATGGAGGTGGTTTCAGGTTGCTGCCATCCCAGTGGAGCCCTCTCCTTATTGCGTCTTTTTTTAAATGTCATCAAGATTTCAGTTTAGCAAATTCATCTAAATCTTGTTTTTCTTTTTTGAAATCTCAAGTTCTGTTTTTTTTTTTTTTTTTTCCACTCTAAAATTTAAAATAGCTATAGAAGATTATTTAGTTGCCTATTAGACAATTATTCCATGTCACTCATAGGGCCTTCTTTGTCATAGTACCTTTTAATTGGTCTGAAAGTCATTGCTCAAGGTTTATAAAAAAGACACAAAAGTGTGTCTTTACATTGTAGATGCACTTAAAATGTCTCAAAAATCTTGAAGGCTAGTTTGTGGATAGGACCTCCACTTATTAACATGTGCAATTCATCTTTTATTAACAAATGGATATATATATACAGCTCTCTAGATCTAGTTGCTTTTGTATGTACAACATGTCAATCTCTTTGTGCAGCATTAGCAGGATAACTGATTTGAGATGTCTCTTTTGTTATATGCTTTGTTCTTAGCCAATTCTTGTCGACGTTGAATTGAGTCCAAGCAATCTAGAAATCATCTCCTCAAGTTAGCTTTTTCTCAGCTATTTCCTTCTCTTTTATTTTTTCCTTATTGATTTCAAGCTATCAATCAACTTTGTGCTCTTTGTTTTGTATGCTCTTATTTTTTGTTTTCAGAAAAAAATAGTTTTCTCATAGATAATGTTTCTGATATTGGTAACTGGATTGAATTCTCATTCATGCTTTTGCCTTCTCATTTATAATGTTTCTCATCTCTAATGCTTTTGTTTTTGTCTTCTCTCTATGCTTGTTCTACTTTGTTTGGTTTTTATTTTTTTGATAGGATATATCTGTGGGAGAGGAAAATGGAGAGGATGATGATGGGGTATTTGGCCATGAAGACTGATCTGACCACGGCCAAATTGATCAATTTCGACATCAATGAGCTCAACATCGCTGCTAGTGGGATTAATTCCATTCTCGGTAATCAATTGATCAATTCCGACATCAATGGAGGCACTTTGTTTACTTCTAGATGTGCCTAGTGGGATTAATTCCATTCTCGGTAATCAATTGAATACCTTTGCCTGATGGTGACAGCTTTTTCAACTAATTTTTCAGGAAAGAGGAAGTGGGGATATATTGGAAGAAAGGAAGAAAACCTTTGTCTTTTGAGCAATCAGTATTGTGATAATGGCAAAGGTCTATTTTCTTTTCCTTTTCTTTTTTCTCAGTGTACTTCTTGTCCCCCTCCTCTTGTACTTGATCCTCTTTTCTTTCTTTTTTTTCTTTTTTTTCCCCTTTTTAATGAAATTTTCTTTGTTTCCAATCAAAAAACGATCCAAAAAAGAGAAGAAAAAAAGTCTATATTATATAAAGGGATGGGGAAAATGTGGGGAGAAGGGAATAAAATGAAGTTGGCATGTAGTTGCGTTACATCAAGGTATTCAGCTTGCTGCATAGTTTAGTTTATGATTTTTGTGAAAGAACTCAACTTCTTTTCAAAGGTTTGTCCATTTTGCATTAATGGCTAGCAGGTGATCACCATGAAAAACATCTATTTCGGCATTAGCAGGTTAATGTCTTTAGGGTTCTAAGTAATTTCTTAGGCATTCTCTAGATGCTTGAACTAATTAATTATTTGCTTTTTGTTTTTCATTAAGCCATTACTCAGAGAAGCATAGTGTTTTCTCTTTTATTTCAGATGAGAGGTGTTTGACGAATTTCCAGTTCAGAATAGTGACAAATTGAGTATACTTTAGAGACAGTGACTAAGGAAGCTTCAGCGAAATCGAGATAATTCTCTAGGAAGGTAAGCTTCATCGGTTAAAAATATATATATATATATATATATCACTACTAGAAAAATAACTTTTTGCCTCTATTTTTTTACGACTGACTATTTATCGCTTCACCTTCCAATTCTCACCTCTCTCTCTCTCTCTCTCTATATATATATATATATATTCATATTTGCTCTCACTTCTCGTTGCAAACCCATCAAATTTCAATTTTCTCTCTAAGATTTATCAAGATCTACCAAGAATTTGAGAGGACTTTTTACATCGAATTGAAGAAGGCTACGTTTTCATTGATCGAATCGAGTTTTTCTCAACATCCATTTTTAGGGTTTTTCATCCTCTTCCTCTCCAAAGCTTGAGGTAGGGATTCTCTTAGAGTTATATATACATTTTTGCAAGTTTATGTTGATTTTGGAGCTTTCGCTTGTAGTATTGAACCTTGATTTTGGCTCATGAGTTCTTGATAATCTTAAAAGTGGGTTTTCCTCAATGTTTTCTAAAAATTTTTGAGGGTATGAACTATATTGTTAATGGGGGAGTTGCCTTGGGAAAATCCTTTCAAAAGTGAGAAAAAAAAAAAACCTAGTTTTGTGAAAACCCTAGAAATTGGGGTTTTATTTTGGAAAAATGATAAGATGTTATGAAATCTTTGGTTGTCTAGTATCATGATGTATATGTGATTGGGATATTCCTATGATTATGTGTAAGAAGGAAGTTCCATGGAAAGAAAATGAGAAATGGTTAAATTGAAACTTGTTGTATAGCACATTATTGGTTGGTCCTGAAATGACCAAGTGGAAGATAGATATTTAGTTGTGGAGAATACATGAATGTTGAGATTGTTAAGTCACCTTTTAAAGTTATATTATGATGGTTAATTTATGAAAAATACTTGAAGGTTAATATTGTATTACTTTATCTCTTATAATGTATTATGATATTGCATTGATAAGAGATGTGGAATTTGATCACAATAGAGGATTTTGTGGCTGAATCGAGAATTTTCAAGGCATTGATATAGAAATATATAGCATTGGCATTGTTGAAATGTTTAAATGGAACCATATTATTGCATTGGGCATTTGCATATTCATTCCTTTTGTCATTGACATAATTGATTTTGAATGAATTCTGTTAATTACTGTTTGAAGATTATAAGAGTAATCGGGAATAGGAGGGGTTTCTATTATTGTTTGTTGGTGTTCATAACACATTTTTAAATATTTTATTTTTATTTCTGGATCTTGGATCTGATTTGCTACTGCTAGCATATCCTTTTGGGTATCTGTTAAAACAGTAATACTACTTGGTTCTCCTAAGTGTAAACCATTCATTTCCACTATGGATTTCCAGTAATTAATTTCTGATATTTGCTCCTGATTGGTACTACAGGGACATGGTTCTTCTGGTTCATCTTCATCGGAAGAAGTAGAGTATAACTGGTTAAGCTCATCATCAGAAGAGATTTCGTCTTCAGTTGAATTTTCTTCTGCTTCTAAAGCTTGAATTAGTTGTTCTTTAATGTCTGGATCAAGGTTTAATTCATTAACCTTAGATTTTGCTTTAGACTTACATTTATTAGCATAATGTCCTGTTTGGCCACATTTATAGCACTTAACTTCTGATTTAGGTTTTCCTTTTGATTTACTGGTGGATTTCTTGGGATAAAACTTCTTAGTAGGTTTCGGATGGCTAGTCTTGGAAGACTTTTTTCGGAAAGGTTTAGATGATTTCTTATGAGAAGTTTTTCTGGTTTTATTAGGATATTTTATCCCTGTTTCATAGGCAAACTGGTCACAGAATTCTCCTAATTCTTTTCGGCCTGTTAAATTCTGTTGTTTCATTTGATACAAAAGTTTGAGGTCATTACATAAATTTCGTCACCTTTACATCTTACTGTGACGAAATTATTTCCTCATCAATGATCAACATTTGTGAAAAATTTATTCGTCAACTAAAATTATAAATATGGTATTGAATAATTATTTGGTGACGAAAATGAGAATTTTTTGCGACAAAATCTTGTTTTATTGGTGACAAAAAATTTCGTCACTAAACCAGTTTCATTGGTGACGAAATTATTTTTCGTCATGGTAGTTTTTAGTGACAAATATTCAATGACGAAACTGGTGATGAAAATATTTCGTCACAAATATCTATAGTGACAAAAAATATTTATAATGACGAAATTAACTCTTTCGAGAAAAAAAAAAAAAAAAAGTCGTCATTTAAGGCTCAAGTTGTTGTAGTGTCCTTCTCACAATGACTAGATCAAGACTCAGTCTTACTTTTTGTAAGTAAATGTTTTACACTTCTAGTTTTTGACTTTCAAATCAACCTCACATGATATGTCATAAGTCACATCACTTCAAAATTTTACTAAAACAAAAAAAATTATTTAATAAATATTTATCGTGTGATTGAAAATCCAAAATTTTGGTCTAAACTGGGGGTGTATGATTACTGTTTCTCATTTGTCGTTGGAAAACAAACTCTAACGTTGTCAATAGGCGTGCCTGTTACTGTAGAATTTTTAATTGGAAACTAGGTGGAAATACAGCATGTCATACTCACAAACTTGATCAGCAAGGAAAGCACTACATTCCATTTCTCTTCACCTCTATAAACACCATACCATTTCAACCAGTTTTTATAAAATCATTTCAAAACATTGCTCTCTTTGAAAAAGAAGAAGATGACGATGATGCCGGGTGGAGAGATGTTGACTCAATTGGGGTCTGCGATGGCTGGCCTTATGTTTATCTGGGCCATGTTTAAGCAATACGTCCCCTTTGATGTCCAAACCCATATTGAAAAATACACTCACAAATTGATTGCCCTTGTCTACCCATACATCCAAATCACTTTCCATGAATACTCTACCGATGGGTGGTTCGAGCGCAGCAAAGCCTACACTGCCATTGAACGGTACCTCAGCACCAACTCTTCAACCCGAGCTAAGCGGCTCAAAGCAGATATGGTGAGCGATTCCCAATCTCTTATCCTGAGCATGGACGATCACGAGGAGATCATTGATGAGTTCAGAGGGATCAAACTCAAGTGGGCTTCAAGGAAAACAACCCCCAACAGACAAGTAATCTCTTTCTATAGAGACAACGACGAGAGGATGTTCTACAAGCTCACCTTCCACAGGCGGCACAGGGACATCGTCACCAATACTTACTTGAATCATGTGATGGAGGAAGGGAAGGCGATTGAGGTGAGGACTCGGCAGAGGAAGCTCTACACCAACAACAAGAGTGAGCAATGGGTCGGGTACAGAAGGAAGATATGGAGCCATGTGGTGTTCGAGCACCCGGCGACATTCGATACTTTGGCTATGGATCCCAAAAAGAAGCAGGAAATTGTCAACGATCTAATCACTTTCACAAAGTCGAAGGATTACTATAAAAAGATCGGCAAGGCGTGGAAGCGAGGGTATCTCCTCTTCGGTCCACCGGGTACTGGGAAATCTACTATGATCGCAGCCATGGCTAATCTGATAGAGTACGATATTTACGATCTTGAATTGACAGCGGTGAAGGACAACTCGGAGCTGAGGAAGTTGTTGATCGACACATCAGGCAAGTCGATTATAGTGATTGAGGACATTGATTGTTCGCTGGATCTAACGGGGCAGAGGAAGAAGAAGGAAAAGGAGAAGGGTGAAAAGAAAGAAGGAGATAAAGCTAATCCAATTGAGGAGGAGGAGAAGAAGAAGAAAGATGCTGAAGATAGCAAGGTTACTCTGTCTGGGCTTTTGAACTTCATTGATGGGTTGTGGTCGGCTTGTGGCGGCGAAAGAATCATCGTCTTCACTACAAACTACGTGGAGAAACTCGATCCTGCTCTGATTCGAAGAGGAAGAATGGATAAACATATAGAAATGTCGTATTGTAGTTTCGAAGCATTCAAGGTGCTCGCGAGGAATTACTTGGATGTAGAATCGAACGATTCGTTTGAGACGATTCGAGGGTTGTTGGAGGAAAACAAAATCACTCCGGCTGATGTTGCTGAGAATTTGATGCCTAAGTCGTCTGAAGAGGATGCCGACACATGTTTGAAGAATCTGATGGAAGCGATTGAGAGATTGAAGGAGGAAGCGAGGTTGAAAGCAGAGGAGGAAGAGAAGGCCAAGTCTGAGGAACAAGAAGAGAGACTCAAGGCTGAGAAAGAGAAAGAGAAAGAGAAAGAACAAAAATCTGCTGAAGAAGAGAAAGAGAAGAAATCATCAGTTGCAGAAGTGAAAGAAAATGGAGTAATCACTTGAAGAAATAAAAAAAAAAAGAAAAAAGAGGATGTTTTGGGCTAGAGAAGAATAGACACTCCATTAATGGTGGCCAAGATTATTGTATGGTTTTATTTTGTTGGTTATCTACCTATTTGTACTGTTTTTAAGGTTTTAGTTTTAATCTTGTTCAATAAGAATTGTTTCTTCTATTCTGGTCAGGCCATATAACATTTTTCCCTGTGACAAAATATTTTGTTTGATTTCAATTTTTTAGAATCAATTTTCAGAAAATTAGATTTTTTTTTTCGCTAATTTTTTTTAATAGTTTAATCTTTTTTTTTTTATAAAAAAATTAGATATATCTAAAGTAAATACACTTAAAAAATATAATATTTGTAAAAAAAAAATTTAAAAATTCACTAAATATGAAAAATACAAAAAAAAAATGAAAATTCAATATATTTTCGTATTCTTGTGTATTTATTGATTTTTTAAAATATTATTTTATAAATATTTATTTTTTAGATATATCTACGTGAGGTGCATCTAAAAAATAAAAAATAAAAAATATTTAAAACTTTAAAAATATTCACTAAAAATAAAAAACACAAAAAATAAAAAATTCAATTTATAAAAAATTGAAACCAAACAATTAATTCAACCAACTTGATTTATTTTGTACATAAAGAAATCATTGTACTCTGATAATTGTAGGCATTACATGAATTAATCATAATTATTTCGTAATATAAATCAAAAAGGACAAGATTTTCCTCCAATAGAAGCTCCTCCACCTCAAGTGATGTAACAGCCTATAATTGGTCACTTATTACATAAATTAAACAATTAAAAAATTCACTAATTCTTGCTCAAATGTCTAACCGTTAAGATTTTCTCAAATACTAGGAAACAAGCATTTAGGAATCTTAGTTATTTAGGTAACTTTATGTTTTTTCTTAAAATCAAATTTTTATCCAAAAATATATTTTCTAACTTTCTAAAAGAATTCTATTATATTTGGGTCTCTAAAAACCGTAATGTCTCTTACAAAATTAGAGCAGTGTATCAACAATATTTATCAGTTGTTTGATCTTGATCTTGAAGAACTTACCCGTGATTCATTACATGTGATACCCCTGTTCTGTATTATGCTAATTGGCCCTTAAACAAAACATCACATCCAACCCATAATCATTACATTCTTCTCTCACAAAAAAACTCAAAAAAACCAAAAAGCCAAAAAGCCCTTCCCAAACCAAGCTTTTAAGCCCAGGCTAAAATAGTCAAAAAAGCCAAAAAGCCAACCCACTTCCCAAACGGAGGCGAAGTGTTTTTTTTTTCCCCCTCAAATTTTTCTCCCTTGTTTTTCTTGAACAATGGAATCTTTTCTTTTTTTTTTATATTCATAAGAAGTTAAAAATGAGCTCAAAATACAAATTACAAACCAGAGGGTTAGTCCCTCTCAAATCTCACACCAGTTATGTCGTCTACCAGTGAAGCTCTAACTTCATCTGGCGGGTCTTCATGAAATACAACATGTTCTGTTTGCGCCACTCCTAGATTAGCAAGTTGATCAGCAACTTTGTTTTCCTCTCTCAAGGTGTGAACCACAGAACAGCTACACCTTCTAAGTAAAAACTTGGCATCTTCAATGAGGGCCTTGTATGGTGAATTTTGGTTTGGACCATGAAGAAGGTGATCGATCGCCTGTACGGAGTCTGATTCAATAACTACATCTTTAGTGCCTTTTTGGAAGAGGATGGTGAGCCCTCTGTAGATGCCCCATAGCTCGGCCTCCAAGCTGGTGCAATGGCCTAGCTTTCCAAAGTAACCCCATATCCAAGCTCCTGTCTCATTTCTCAGCAAACCCCCATAACCAACTTGGCTTGGGTCTCCCTTTGAGCAGCCATCAGTGTTCATTTTTAGCGTACCTGCAGATGGACAATGCCAATGAATTAATCTTGGTAGTGCAGATTGTGGACAGAGAGGGGAATGATAAGCCTCATCAATCTCTTGAACATAATTGAAGATGTTCTGAAGACTGATGTGAGTTGGGTTTAGAGAATTATCAAAAACCAATTTGTTACGGTCTTTCCAAATTTGCCAGAGAGTGACAATGAAAAGAAGGAACCAGTTTTTATCATAACAAAGTGATTTATTTTTCATATTAAGAGTAACTCAATCAGTAAAGGGTTGTTCATTTCCTTCTTCCCACCACGACTGGCTTTGGATGGAAAACCAGATCTCTCTGGAGGTAGCACAGCCTCTAAGTAAATGTGCCATATCTTCACTATATTGGCCACATCTGGGGCATGTATTAGTATCAGTTAAGTGCCTAATAACCCGCAATTGATTGGTCAGCAAACGACCCTTTAAGGCCAACCAAAGAAAGTATTTCAACTTTTGAGGGATCTTGAGTTTCCAGACCCACTTCTAGTCCCTGTTATTCAGCTCAGAATTAGTAATGAAATTAAAAGCAGAAGTTGTAGTGTAGTTACTAGAAGAAGAGGCGACCTAGGTTGAAGCATCAGTGAATGTAACATATCTGGGCCTATACACTTTTAGAATCTCAGTGAGGTCTTGCTGGTTAACAATAGTGGATAGCAAATCAATGTCCCATTTACCCTCATCATCAATAATAGAGCTGACCTTATCAAGAGCATTAGATTGATAGCAGTTATTTAATTGGGCTAGTGGTTGTGTGCCATACCACTAGTCATGCCAAAGGGAGATGTTTTCCCTATCTCCAACAGTCCATTTAATACCCTTTCTAAGAATATCCTTGTTTTTACAAATACTCCTCCAGCAGTGGGAATATTTTTTTTTCATGGGCCAAGTGTACAAAGTATGATGTTGCAAATATTTAGAATGTAACACTTTACACCAGAGTTTGTCCTTATCACTAATTATTTTCCAGCCTAGTTTGGTGAGGAGGGCAGTGTTTTGATCCCTCGCCTTTCTGATTCCAAGACCTCCCTCAATTTTTCTTTTACAGACATTATCCCAATTAACTAAATGCACCTTTTTCTGAGTATCAGTGTCACCTCACAGAAAATTACTATTGATTTTATCAATTTCGTCAGAAAGTGTTCTAGGAAGCTCCATGGTTTGCATGTTGTAGGAGGGAATTACAGCAGTGACAGATTGGATAAGAGTGGTTCTTTTAGCCAAATTAAGGGTTTTAGCTTTCCAACTGGAGAGTCTAGATTTCAACTTCTCGAGAATATCAGAGAACAGGTTCTTATTAACTTTATGATGGAGTAAGAGGGAACCTAGGTATTTTCCAAGGTTATGAGTAAGGGGAATACCACTTTGTAAGCTAAGAGATTTGGCAAATCTAGTGGAGAGATTTGGCAAATCTAGTGGAGAGATTGGGAGAAACAAAAAGTTTTGATTTCTGGAGGCCTCGTTTGGCAACCGAACTTTTTAGCCAAAAAGTCAAAAAGTTACAAAATTAGCCAAAAAGCCAACAACCCATACCAAAAAGTCAAAGATTCTCTTTTCTCTCTACTTTTTGCACATCTTTTCGTAAAAGCCAAAAAGTCATCCCAAACATACTAGTTTTTTTTTTAACTCATATTTTAGCCAAACAGCCAAAAAGTTACTAAATTAGCCTGTTCCCAAACGAGGCCACTTTTTGGCCAGACACTTCACAAAACTCCGAGAGGACCTCCATAACTGTATCATAATTGGTATGATTGGCTTGGGTAAAAAGGATCAAATCATCTGCAAAGAACAATGAGATAAGGATGGACTATTTCTGGATGCTTTAATCCCTTTCCAACAGCCCTCCTGCACTTTTCTATTGATCATATTAAATAATCTTTCCATGCAAAGCACAAAAAGATAAGGGGAGAGGGGGTCCTCTTGTCTAAGGCCTCTCTTGTTATGAATTCCATTAATGATTTCTCCATTCCACAGGATAGAAGAAAGTTTATTAGTGACACAGCTCATAATCAAATCAATCCAAGCATCATTCAGATTGAATTCCCTAATTGTTTCTTTAATGATGTCCCAGGAAAGTCTGTCATAGGCTTTTTCAAGATCAATCTTAAAAATCATACAATCTCATTTACTTTTTTTATATCTTAAGGTGTGCAGAATCTCTTAGGTAATGATAATGTTGTCAGTAGTGGTTCTTCCAGGGATAAAGCTGCTCTGATTTGGGGAAATAAGGCTATCTAACAAAGGTCTCAGTCTTCCCATAATGATCTTAGATATAATCTTATAAGTGACATTACACAAACTTATGGGACAAAACTGTTTAATGGTTTCAGGATGATCTACTTTGGGGATCAAAACAATAAGAGTTTCATTAATCTTAGAAGGCACATAGAAGTTGTGGAAACGATTTTTGACAAAATCGCACACGGAGTGACCTATAGAATGCCAATAGTTCTGATAGAAAATGGCCTAAACACCATCCTTACCAAGGGCTTTAAAAGGCCCAATGTCTTTTACAGCTCTAAGAATTTCAGCATTGGAGATGGGTTTGAAGAACTCATGATTATCTTCCTAAGTAAAATGGATTGGATTCAGATGAGACCAATGGTCAAGGTGAATGATATCTTCACTATTAAAAAGATTTTGAAAGTAATCAAGGATAACAGCCTTAATATTGTCAGTGTCAGTGATCCAAAAACCAGCATTATCTTTGATGGCATTAATTTTAATTTTCTTTCTCTTAGTAATAGTGGAAACATGGAAGTATTTAGTGTTCCTATCACCAAGAGTAATTTGGTTAGCCCTAGATTTTTGGAACCATAGAATCTTCTCCTAAGCCAAAACAGCATTATATTGTTTGATAAGGTCTTTTTCAAGGAGGTGAAGATTATAAGTGAACCTGACTGCTAAATTCCTTTGAGTCCTCTCTATCCTAGCAAGAAGATATCTCTTTCTCTTAAAGATATTACCATAAACTTCTTTTTTCCATTCTTTAACTCTAATAGTGAAAGCAACAGTAGCCTCAAGGAGATTGTTATGCATGTCAGCCCAGGTGGATTTAATAATGTCAATGAGACCAAGATGGGTCATCAAGGCTGCCTCAAACCTAAAAGGTCTTTTAGAAGGAGTAAGAGTGTGCATACCTTGAGTGAAAACAACAAGAGGTGAATGATCTGAATAAGTGCGAGCAGAGTTTTCACAGCAGCTTCAGGAAACCTGGTTCCCCATTTTGCATTGCACAAAGCTCTGTCGAGTCTTTTCATTGTATTCGCCAAGCCTTGCCGATTGTTGGTCCAGGTCATCTTGGGTCCAGAGCTCCCCAAGTCAATTAAGTTACAATTGTTGATTCTGTCCAAAAATTTCTAAGTTCGAGTGAATCGCTAACTTGTGGTAAAGCTTCTTCTTTCTCCCTGATTTGCGTGGTCGTTGAAATCACCTGCTACAAGCCAAGGTTTATCCATGTTCTCTGTCACTCCCTCCAGATCATTCCACAGAGAGTCCCTCAAGGCTGGATTTGGGCTTGCATACACAGCAGCAAGAACCCACTCTTCATAGTCTTCTTTATAGATAGTAGCATAGATAGCCTGAGAGCTGATAGAGGAGACCCTAACATTAACCTGGCTTGTGTCCCAAATGATCCATATCCCACCTACTCTAACAATGGGGTTGACTATGGATAAAGCTGTGAAGCCCAACCTATTGAAGAAATTACTCATTCTGCTGAGTGGAACTTTAGTCTCCATGAGGATAAGTATTTCAGGTTTATGAGTCCTGATAATTTCCACAAGATTCCTTTTAAAAATGTTATTACTGGCACCACGACAATTCCATAATAGAAGTCGTAGCAAATCCATAGAAGGGTAATGAAAGGGCAAATCAATTACCAAATCTTTAACAATGCCTCATATCCTCCAAAGGTTGTCCTCTTTGGATCTCATGGAAGCAAGCTGGAACGAGTGGAGAGGCTTCAGATGAGGATCCGCCTCAATTTGGCACGATCGTCATTTGGAGCTGTTCTATCCACCAGGCGAAAGCGACTAGGTGAGTTACTTCTTTCCCTGGTTCTAACAATAAGCTCACATTACTAGTCTGATTGCAATGCTCTATCACTTCATTCATCAGATCCTCTGGACTCTGGTTGTCTCCTTCCGCCATTGTTGCCTTCGCCAGGATCTGGTGGTTCTTTATCTGGGAAGTGTAGTTCTAGGGCTTTGGGAATGGGGTTGGTTGCTGCTATACTGCCAGAGGTGGGAGGTGGGTTAACCTTAACCATGGTTGAGTCTGCTTGGCCTGGGTTATTTTCTATTGAAAAGATCATGTCAGATGAAATCTGGGACACTGGATTGCCATTTGAGGGAGTTCCCTCTGTTGCTTGCGCACAGACTAGATTCCCTGAGTAAGGATCCTTGCCTTGAACAGAAGAACTTTCTCCTACTTTCTTCTAACTTGATTGCACCTGCACACAGGGAGCTGTATTCGTAGCTTTGGGTTGTGGACCTATTTTGTATTTTCCTTTGGTGATTTGAGCTTGAGTAGGGCCTGCTGGTAGACTGGGCTCATTTTGGGCCTTATCCTCTCCCGTTCTTATATTTTCCTTACCTTGAAGAATATAACCTTGGTTGGCTGGGTTCTCTTCCAAATATTTAAAGGAGTTGGGTTTGGGATTTGGGCCATTTGTATCTCGTGCCCTTTTGGGCTGGGCTATTCTTCTGAACCTCTTGGTTACAAGCATCCATGGGCCAAATGCTTCATCCTCTTTGTTCTCTGAATACAGGTTACCGTTATGTTCAACTGTTTGATTTCCAGTGCTTCTGTTGTCGGAAACGGCTAGTGTAGACGTGCCCTCGGGCCTCATGCTACAGCTCGGACTCAATTTGTGTCACGGTCCTTAATCTGAACCAAAGAGTACAAATCCGGCAAATCGTTTTGAGAAAATAGATTTTTGAAAGAAGTGCCAAACATGGACTGCTTTGCCAGATACAGAGTCGCCACCTAATTTTGAGAGGTTGGCCAATGGATTTAGCAATCACAAAGAGGACTTTTTCTTGATAGTATTCAATCGGAAGCTCGAGAAACCAAACCTAGACAGCAGTTGTGGTTTCAAAAGCTTCCAATGGTTTAAAATTTGGTTCCTATCTTCGCACAGTAAGATAATGGTCCATGGCCTCCTGTGAAGACTCAGGTACAGTCTTCTTGTTCAGAGATTTTAAAAGAAAGTAATTACAGCTGATATCAATAGCATTAAATTCACCCTGAAGGCCCCAAATATTCTTAACCTTAGATGGTGTTTGGTTTTTTAGAATTGAAGTAATGTCTATTCTCATGTTTAGTTCACTAAAAATATTGTGAAAATTGAATTACCAATAAAATTATCAATCCCCATTGCAAGTGAATGGTTATTCTATAGAAAAATTAAGGAATGACTATTATGTTCTATTTTAAGTTTATTTTAATGAACAAAATACTATTTAAATGTGCTCCCTTTTAATCTTTTATTTTAACAATGATTGAAAAATCTGCAATTTTGAGTCTTTACATTGCATAATTCTTAGCAGAAGAAAAATTTTAGTGAATTAATCATATTATTAAGTGTACAATATATGTTAACAAATTTGAATATAAGATTTTAATTATTTGTTATTTTGCATCGCAAAAATAAAGAAAATAAACTTGAAAACACATAATTACAACAATATTAAAAAAAATAAAAAGTTTCATTTAAAATTTTCACTTTGAACTTCAAAGTATCTTGAGCCAATATTAAAGTAAATTAGTTTATTGAAAATTTAATTACGTTAAAAAAAAAAACTTTCCTAAATTATATTAGATTATTGTAGATATATTTCTTATTAGTTTTAGGAAGATGATTAGAAGTCAATTTTACTTTTAATCAAGCTTTTAACTTTTTTATAAAAGTGATTTGAAAAGTTAATAAAAAATTATTTTGACTTTTTTAATTAATATTTGTTTAAGATGTCACATCACAATAAAATAATTAAATTACCCCCACTCAATGTAGAAAATTTATATTTTCACTCATGTAAATATAAAAAAACATAAATGTTATAATTGTATTTTATATATGGCTTTTTTGGACTTGTCAAATGACTCCTTGTTAAAAAAGTAAATAAGTTACAAACGTATCTTTTTACTATTCGTTTGGCATGTTAACATCTTAGTTAAAAAGTCAAAAAAATTATTAAAAAAATAAAAAAAACTTATAATTTATATCAAAAAGTCAAAGATTTTCTTTTCTCTTTATTTTTTACACATCTTTTTATAAAAAATTAAAAAATCACCTCAAATATATTAATTTTTTTTATTTTATATTTTAACTAAAAAATTAAAAAATTACTAAAATAAAATTTCTCAAACGAGGCCAGTTGCCAAAAGAGTACATTGATATTTGAGGTTGACGGGAAAAAAAAAAAAAAAAATGTTATTAGAAATTGAATAGATTTTAGCTTTTGTCATAAGGACCAATTATAGACTGTCACATGGTTTGGGTTACTGAATCCGGATCTTCGGTCGCCATTCCCTGTAGCCATCCCCTGTCGCCCCCAAAACGACGTCGTTTTGGGGGCGAATTTTCAAAAAAAAAAAACACAGAGAAGAGGGAGGAAGGAGAGGAAGAGGAAGAGGGAGAGGGAGGAAGGAGAGGGAGAGGGAGAGGTATCATGGCTTGATCAAGAGGTGAAGCATGCATGCCAATGCAATGCAATCCTAAGCATGTGAGCCTAAGTGTGCAATATGGGCATGCAAGCAAGTAATGCAAAGGTGCAACTAACCAAGCATGCAAAGTGTAACAACAACGTGCACACATGCAAGATGCAATATGAACAATATGTTAGATACAAAGCATGCCAAATGCAACAACACAAAAGTGTACAACAATGTGTCATGAGCCAAGTATCTACATATATAAGCATGCATGCAAACATGGCTTAAGACTTTAAACATCAAAAGGTAACTCTCAAGCACACTTAAGTGGATACGATCATGGACAAATGGCATGCACCATAAGCTTTGAAAATCATGTTAAGAATGGTGCTAAGCCAAGTAAACAAGGTAAGCATGGCATGCGACAATGGTCCAAGATTCAAGGCAAGCCCAAGGGGGATTGAACTACACTTAATGCAACCACACATGGCATGAATTAAGTGACCAAAACTAGAGTTTTATCATGCTAAAACAAAGCCAAAAGACCACTTAGATGGCATCTAAATGACTTACACATGGAAGCATACACAATGGCCAAACATGGGGGCATAGGACACCACCTCTTGGAGCATTAAAGGGGCCATGAAATGCAAGCATACAAGCATGCTAAGTGGACTGAAATGACATGGAAAATGGCTCCAACTCACTAAATCAAAGCAAGTAAAGCATACTCCACACTCACACACTTGGGGCTAACAATCCAAGATGCAAAGGGACTATGCAATGCATGTCTTGGTCGACCAAAACAACCAAGGACAGACCTTAAGCATGGCAAGACAAACATAAAAGCTTCATAAAGCTAGGCCTAAACATACTTGAATAAGGGCTTAAAGCATAGGACATGTTAAGGCTAAAATAAGGCATTACAAGGCATGTATGCTAAGCAAGCATGGTGTACCAAAACCAACATACAACAATGATTATGACATAATAAGCATGAAAATCAGTCAAGGCATAGTCAATACACACTCAAACTATATGCTCCCTCAAGAGGCTAAAAATGGCCCTTTTCAAGGACAACAAGGAGAGGGGGCGGCCCTCTCCTTCCGAGGACCTCAAGGCACCATCCTCATCACTGAAATCCCTCAAGATTTCAGTGGTGAGGAAGCCCAAACACAATGGTCCCGGCGCTCAACCGAAATGGCACAAAACAAGGGCCAAACAAGCCTTAAGAGGGGTCAAACAACCCCAAAGCTTAAAACACCCTTAACAAACTATTTAGAGCACTCAAAAACAAGAATTTTCTATGTTATATGTTAAGCTCAAAAACAGTTGCAAATATGGCAAAACAAGATATGAAAACAAGGCTTAAAAGAGGTAAAAGCTCACCCTTGAAGCACAGCAGCAAATCGGCAACTTTTAGACCAAGAAAAGGCCTCAAATCACCCCAAAAATCACCTTCAAGGACCTTAGCTCAATAAAAGGAGTAGAGAACTAGGTGTTTGTATGCAAAAGTGCAAAGAAAATACACTTTTGAGCACAAACAAGCCCTAAAACTTAGAGAGAGAGGCAGAAAATGTAGAGAGAGAGAGAGTTTTTTGCTTCTTAGGTTGTATATCTCTTCCTCTTCCTCTTGTATATCTCTCTCTCCTTTTTTAGAGAGCTTGATTGATATAGAGATATATCAATCTGCAGCTCCTCAGAGCTCCCACGTCCAGGCATGGGCTGGGGTATGGCCTGGAATGACAGCTGCCATCTGTCTGTAGAAATATCTGTTGAAAACCACATTTGGCCGGCCGGCCATAACACTTGGCCGATGGCAACAAGACACAGCCGGTGGCCTCAAGCCACAGCCGGTGGAGTGTAGGGATGTCCCAAAAGCCATTCCCTGCCCTTCAAAGCAAAAAACACAAGTGTTTGGTGCAAAACCAGACACAAAACGGTCGAGTCGAGAGATCCTGAGGCAAGGCGTGTAGCCAAGGCCTCTAGGAACTCAAGACGAACACAAACAGGGATGATCACCGAGTGTTCAAGCGGTGACGTCCAAGTCTTGAGGACGGTCAAAAATGGGGTGTCTACAGTTGCCTCTTTTTGACAGAACTCGAAAGTCATAACAATGATGGGAGTGAATGTCAAAGCCCAGAGACGACCCATTTTTGACAAGGCCGAAGACTTAGACAAACATGCAAGACAG